CCTGCTTTTGGAGCGGTCTCCCGTCCGTTTGGTGTTCACATGCATTCAGATCTCAACAGAACCAAAACCAGTTTATAGGTGGATCAGAGTTCGTTTTTTGGTCAGCATTAGAGTTTGGTCCACAAAACCCAAAAAGAAAAATAATAACATTAACCTCATCCTGCTGCTTCAATAGGATTTAACAGGAAAAATACAACCTGCTGTTGACCAAATGTTGATAAATAAATTCCTCCGAGTCTGTTTTTTATCACTGGCCACACTGGAATATTTATTTGAATACTTATGAATTCAAATAAATATTCTGTTTATAGATATTTATTGATATTTAACTTGTTAGCTAAATATTTAGTTTGGATCCAAACTAAAGTTTAGTTTAGACCGATAAGCCAATATTTAATCCATTTGTTATATCCATTAACTTCCGGGTTAAATATTTAGTTTAAAACTGTGACATTTATGAACAACTGTATAAACATATGAAAATATGAAAAATAACCTTCATAATTTTCTCAGGCAACAGGCTAAATAATTCAAAATATTGACCGTGCAGCTTTACAAACAGCTCCTCGTATCACAGACTGATGATGTCTAATTTATAAATGCTGCAGTTGCTGTTTGTGAAATCCCTGCTGGGGTTTTGTGTTTATAAACTTTGCTGTTGACTGTTTTTAAACACCAACTGGAGATATTAAAAGAGCCAACAGAGTTGATGAACAAATCTTGACATTTATAAATCCAGAGTACAGCAGCTCTCTGCTCAGCTCTTCCTCTGCTTTCCATGTTGAAGCTTTTTATTTTTAGTGTTTTGTTTTGAAATAAAACACACAGTAAAAGTGACACAAACTCATAACATTAAACTGTGGCACTCAGGACATTTTAATTGGTGTCTGTGAGCCAGCAAGTTTGTTAAACTCCAAACCAGCTGCTGTGGCGGGAGAAATGGCAAAGCTTTCACTGAACAGAATCAAATCCAAGTCATTATTATTTTTATGGAATATTGTTTTTAGTCAAAGTTTATGCCATTTTAATCCATGCAAAAAGATTTAATTATGTGAAAATATATCTAATAATGAGGTACAGAGACATGGGTGAAAGGATAAGCTTTAATAAAAAGCTGTTTCCCTCTTTTTCCCTTTTATTATAGTACATAAAGCCTTTCTAACAACCACCTTTAAGAAGCATTAGAGAAAATCTATAAAACACCATGGCTCTGTTACTTCCATCAACACGTTAAGTGTTTGATTTCTTGGAATCTGACATGATGATGGATGAGCATTCAGCTTGAATTCAAGCTAATTTCTCTTTGGCTCTGTCAGCGACTCCATCTGTTTTCAAAGAGTCAGACTGGCAACCGTCCAGAAAGCTCCAATCATCTTAATTTTCCAAAGCTGAAGCACAGAAGAAAGAAATTATAACATACTGGAATATTAATGCTGTTGATTTAAACATTTTTGTCTGAACTGATCCCCGTTTTGTTTAGTTTTTTTTCCCTGTTTTTTGTTTGGCGCGACCACCCATCCTTACGGACGCTGATACGCTGAACCCAGGTTCTTTTTCTCTAAGAGTGTGGATGTAATTATTTCACCCAGACTCAGTTGGGTCATGTCATGCGCAGTCCCGAGTTGAATAGTTGATGTTTGTCAGTGGTGAGCCGCAGTAAATCAGGTCTGTCAGCGCAGTGCCAGCTGAATGTGGATGCGGTGCAGCAGCCCAACGCGCTCGCCTGAAACTCAACGCCGTTCATGTCGGTTCCTCCCCCGCCTCGCTGTTAGCATGTTTTTGGTGTTAATCTGGTGGGAAAACTTTACACCTTTGATCATCTCTCAAACTTTTAAAGGTAAATATGTGGTGAATAATAATAATAATAATAATAATAATAATAATAATAATAATAATAATAATAATAATAATAATAATAATTATTATTATTATTATTATTGTTATTAATAATAGGACGTGAATGTCAGCGTGTTTCACCTCAGAGTTTTCACATCTTTATTTCTCTATTAACTCGGTGCAAATTTCATCACTTTATTTCATACATCTACAAAGTTTATTTGATTTGTGGTGCATTTTACACCAAGCGCCTTTGCTTCCGCTCCAAGTCCAAGAACAAAAGGACTTGCATGTGAAAGGAAAGATACTGGTTCCAATAAAACTTCTCTCTGTATGTGGAAAATGTGGATGCTGTAACTGCTAAGGTGTGTCTTTTTGTTTTTCTAATGATTTCAGTTCCTTATATCCGCTGCTGCACTTTGTAGTCTATTTACTCTTTCTGAAAAAACCAAAGTCGAATTTCAGCTAAATGAACTATGAAGGAAAATGATTGCCTGCTAAAATTCCCTTCAGTTCCAGCTCATTAAAACTCTGAACACTTTGTGAGGCCTGAGTGAAAGGGAAGCATTCCTAATCACATTTATTTTCAGTTGCAGGCAACAGTTTAGGGAAAGAACAATTCCAATCAAGATTATTTTGATGTAAAAAAGAAACGTTGGGAACTTAAAGCAAGTATAAAAATACTCAAAAACAGTGAGAGTCTGGTGCAGTTATCTCTAATAAATCATGAAGAAACACAGATGGTTGTGTTTGGCTAAGATTTACTTTGGTACAAAGCCTTATGTAGGAGCACAGCCTTGTTGTCCAGTTTAACCAGTTATTTTAGGTTTAGTTTAATGGTTGTTTTATATTGAAGCTATCAGAGCAACTTTTCATTTTGGTTCCACTTTTGTTCTGGAAGGATGAAGTCAAAGCAGCGATGCTACAGTATTTATTTTATTCGGTGTATTTCTACTGTTTGAGCTCTTTAGATTACACAGAAAACGCTTCATTTTTTATTTTAATCAAATAGCTTGAAGCTAGTTTAATCGCCATCAGGGTCAGGTGAAAATGAGTCCTTCACATCTCAGAGGAGGAATTTTGGCTCTCTCTTTTTTGCAGAATTGTTTTCAGGCACAAACAACTTGTTTAAGGTAATTTTACAGCATCACAGTAGATGCAAGTCAAGACTTTGACTAGACCACTGTAAATCTCCATTTGGTTTTACTTTTGAGCCATTAGTTGGTCATTAATTTGTTTTCTGGGAATGTCTGCTTCACATGGAAAGATAGTTATTCAGATTTTTGACACCATTTTCCGACAATCTTGAGGATGCTGCGATTATGGTGACGGCTCTAAAGATATTCCTGCCGTGTGTTCAGAGTGATTTGGACCGTTCTGATCGGGGATATTCACCATGTCGGGTTGTCTTGGCCCTCAGCGTGTGTGGTGTTTTCCCGCCGACAAACGAGAACGCAGCCTGGTGAATGTGACGCGTAGCCAATCAGAGAGCAAAGTGGCAGAAACAACATTCAGGAATCCAAAATGCAGAAGACCAAACATCTTCCAGGGGGGACCAGACGTGGTTTTGAGTCGTTTTTCTCCGTTAAAAATAATCCACAAACTGTCGCCATTGCTTCTTCCCGGTAGGCCATGTTTGTTTACTCTGAAGTCACGTTTGGTCTCGAGAGATTTTGAGAGATTTCCATTTTTTCATCTGAATGTTGGTGAGTGAAATCGGTTCCTCTGTGGCGTGTTGTCTTAGGTTTTGAATTTTGCAGTGTGACCCAGGCATTAGACTCATCTTTGTGTTCTTTTTGGGTTGAATCATGACCTCTGACCCCAGCGAGGATAATCAAAGTCTGCAGAGATTAAATGTCCATGTTTTCACCATTTTAGATGATGCTTCTCTCTGCAGCTCACTGGAATCTTAAAGCTTCAGAAATCACTGTCACCTTTTCTTAATTGCTGTCTGACTTTGTTTCTCATCTGTTGTTAAATTTGTTCAGCTCATGTCATCATGTGTTGCTTTTTGAGGTTTTTTTAGCCTACTTCATGTCGGATGGGTTCTGTTTATGATGATTTATTGATTCTGAACCCAAAGAAATCCATTTTGCTTTCACTCAGGATCAGTTCAGCTTGATTGGATTCCCTCTTCAACAAGTTAATTAGCAATAATGTTTTGTATTTGTGGTCAGTCTGATATTAAACTGAATTTGTGACAAATTAAAGTGCAACGTTTCACAGCACTGCAGGTTCGATGAGGACAGAGTTGGTGCTTTCAGCGCTGGGAACGGAGGAACATGTGCTGAGCAAACTCTGGATGCAGTTTGGTTATTTTTAGTGTTTTCACAGGTTAGACGTATTAACCTTGTTAAGTGGACATGATGCCTTGAATTCAGTTTATTTATGAAATGAACCAAATCCAGATGATTATCTCAGGGTTTCATGGAAGGCTTTGGCATTCTGAAAATTGATTTAGATTCTGATTATTGAGGGTACAATAAATGAAAGACTTTCAGTTCTTATGGAGATAAAGGTGTACTATTCAGTTCAGATTAATTTTTCAATACAAAAACAGTATTTATTTATTTATTTATTTATTTATTTATGTTTAAACTGAAGTATTGCCTTTTCTTTTACATCACAGTTTCATGTCACCTTTATGTTGATTATATTCTTTTAGCTCATTATTTGAATTCATCAAAAAAATTTAAATAAAATAAGAAAATTATTTAAAAAATAAAAATTTCAAACATTAATTTCTTGGGGAGTATTTCCAGTTAACATTTCTTATACTGAAATTTAATGTTAAAATGTTTATACTTAATTTTACTTTGTAATTTGAAACTTCTGATTTTTCTTTCGCTCAATAAAACAACAATCTAGTTTTACTGACTTTTTTTGCTGATGTTTAATTTTTATTTTAAAGTCTTACTTATTTATCGAGTTCTTTTCAGTACAACTCAAACTTCACCTCAGTGTTTTTCTTTGGTTTTAATGTGAAACCCACAGGTTTAATATTCAAATAGAAGAATTTCCTAACATTTCATTTGCCATGTTTCACTAAAATAAAATTATTTTTTAAAGAGTTGAAGATTTCATAAACAAAATGTAAATATTTACAGTTTTGTGTTTTTGTGCCATACAAAGTTTAATAACAGTTTTGTTTGTGTGTGCAGCAGGTGTATCCGTGCAGCAATGACAAGGAGTGCAGCGTCGGCAGCTACTGCCACAGCCAACAGCAGGCCTCGTCGCGCTGCCTGTCCTGCCGCCGCAGGAAGAAGCGCTGCCACCGGGACGCCATGTGCTGCCCTGGGAACCGCTGCAGTAACTGTGAGCACGCACACTTGCTTCTCATTTCATTTTAATTATGCAGAAGTTCAACACTGAATTCAATAACTGGATTTCTTTTCTTTGAGGCGTTTTACCACCAAACTGATTTAGACTGGAAACTCTGTTTGTTTTGGATCAGATATGAGTCTAGTTTATTTATTAAGCACGTTCAAAAAACAAGTTTACAAAAACTTTACAAAAATAAGATAAATAAAAGACATAAAGCAAGTATTAAAACTCGGGCCGGAACCTTAAAATGTTAACTTTGATGAATTAATTACATAGATTTTGAGTCAATCACTTTTTTTTTTTTTTACATTCAAACGTTTTGAGCTGGAACCTTTGTATTCAGTTGTTTCTGGTACTCCTGTAAAGCTGATGCACAATAAACAGCAATAGACAGCAAAGCCAAAGCTGCTTCTTAGCACCGGGGTTCATTTCTGTTTAAAAACCAATCTGATTGGACACTGGGCTACTGTTGTGTTCAAGTTGTTCTAAATTGAGTTAACCTATTAGCTAAGCTACTCAATGGTAAAGATGTAGCAGCATTGCAGAAGTCGCCACTGTTAGCGTTAGCGTCCACAGAAATTTCATAAGTTATCATGAATGAAATAAGTATTTATTCAATAATTTAGCAGCAAAAATATTTTTTTGAATTGAAAATGTTGCTTTTGTTTGTCCATATATAGTTTTCAATTAAAATCCAATTAATCAATTACAGTTATCTGTAATTCATTACAGATAACTCAATTTAAAATGATAATTGAGTCTCACCTCTGTTTAAAACATTAATAAAAATTTGTTCTTGTTTATTTTCCTGTTGATTCAGTGACAAATCGAACTGTCCTCATAAACAAATGAAGCCGAGGAGTGAAGTGTTAAAAATCAATTATCTACACACCATCTGTGAAGTGATGAAAGACTTGCACTTAGCATTTAGCCTGCCTTGCTGTGCAAATCTTCATTAGTGCAAACCGAGAACCCGCATAGCATAGCATGAGATTAAGAAAAGTTAATATCAAGTCCTTGTTTTTGTGCATCACTTACATAATGTATTTTAGCAACGTTTCGTCTTTGTGGTTTGAGTTGCTAAAACAATCCTCAGCAGCCTGGCTTCGCTAGAAATCCTATTATGTTTGCTACAGATTCAGACGTGTAGAAAGGCAATAATGAAACATAATTTACTTAAAACTACACATTTTCATGCACCAAAGAAATTTGCTGGCAAGATGAAATAGTGTGGAGTCTTTGCCTCACTTTCAGTCTGACAAAAAAAAAATCAACAATTTCTGTATTCCTAAATACTGGGTTAGCTGTAGAATAACAAAATATTTCTGATCTTCTTGCTGTTTCTTGTGATATCACTCAACAGTTACGAGTGAAGGAAGTGCATAGAGTTGCATTCAAAGCCTCTATTTACAGCTGAATTTATAAACACTGTTAGATCTTTACATATCACCAGCTGGTGTTTATAAATCCTGAGTTAAACTTTGTGTATAACTCCTGTTTTTATTGGTAATAATAAATAATGTCCATAAACAATGACTGTTTAAAGTATTGTAAAGGGATTTATGTGTTTCCTGCAGACACTCGGAGGACAGGAAGTTAAAATGTTTGAGATTTAAAACCTCACACAGTGACTGAGTATTGTCCTGATTTAAATGCTGCTGCAGTAAGTACGTTAAAATCAAAAGCCTGACTGAGTCAAACCTTAACTGGTGAATGTTTCAGCCTTTGTTGTAAAGCAGTGTTCGTACAGAAACCGTCCTGTAGCTCACACACTCACAAAGATTTATTATTTTCAGTGAATCAATAGATTTATACATCATACTCTTCCCAACCATGTTGGAAAACAGTTCAATATTTCTGTATTTTATCTTAAACATGGTAATAAACCTCACTCCATATTCAAGTCAATTTACAAAAAAACTTTTAATTTTAATCAAAGATACAATCAAACAGATCCTAGTTATCAAACGGCATTAGTTTATTATTTAAATTAGTTTAAAGAGATCAGAACAATAAAACTTCTCTTTTACATTCTCACACATTACTTGCTGTGTAAAACTCTTTCTGGGTGACGAAGCTGCCCAGAAGCCCTAAAACCATGTTTTTCACTTAGTGAGAAATTTTAAATTTAAGAATAAATTTTAAAATACAAAGTTCTGGGTAAAAGTCGTTCATGTTAGTCCAATATTTAAGGTGGACACATTTCTGTTTTCACACACATTGCCACCCAAGAATGCTGCTTTATTGAAAAATTAGGTAGAAGAAATTAGAAAAGCAGAAAAAATTAGCAAAAGACTGTTGGCATGGCAACAGTGATAAATAATCGATAAAGGTGGAGCACCAAACCTTTAACATTTTGGTTTTAAGTGTTATGAATGATATCCTGAGTGTTTCTGTCGACCTTAACAAGTTTAGAGTTGAGCTAAAATTTCTTCTCCTATCAGTGAAACTTCTCTGTGGGCTGGTTGGATGTAAACCAGAGAAGATGGAGCGATGTTTCTGAGAGCCATCTAAACAAATCAGCGAATGAACCAAACAGAAATAAACTAGACACTGCAAGACTGCACAAGATTGAGTTACAGAAAGAAAGTATTAACATGCATGCACATTAGAAAATAAACACCAATCTATAATGATGTTTAGGCTCAATCAAACGAGAAAAAACAGAAAACTAATCAAAGGCACATTCTCTCTGTGTTACTCAACAGACTGATCCATTTTATCTGATAAGATCTAATTAAACCAAAACTCCAGGTTAGAAATCAGCAGTGAGTTCTGGTGTCTCTAATTCTGTATTTTCTATAAATATACATAAAAGACATTTGGAGGTGGCTCAACTTGAAAATGACGGTTAATCTGCTGCTGTGAAAATTAACATAAGAAATTAAAGTTCATCAAATTGATTTAACATGAAACAAGCTGTCTAAACATTGTTTTTAAGTTCTGATAGCTCATTATTCTTAAATTGAGTTATTATAACTTAATACGGTAATTTAAACTAAGTGATTATTTCACATTATGTAGGAAAACTGTCCTCACCAGTTGAACAAGCACATTTTTATATTGTTTTCAATAACATTATCAAGTTAAAGTAACTACTTATCTTAAGTTAGAAGATTTTAAATTCTTGATTCAACTTGAATAAACTGCTCTTGTGCTTTAGTACAGCTACCAAAAAGCATGCAAAATGCATTTTGTTCTCCAATTTTTCTGTCTTATACATGTTTGTTCCAGTTTCATGAAACAACAGGAAAATAAAACTCCAGCTTTTAACACACATCAGAAAATTTCACGACCAGCTCAGTCACACACATTTGCAGCACTGCTACAGAATCTATGCAACAATAACAAGATGGTCTAGTTTTATCCAGATACTTCACTCACTTCTGCATGCTGGATGCTTGAAACTGAAATTAATACTCAGAAAACGATTCTTTGACCACTTGGGGCCTTCATATATTTGATCAATGAATATCAGAATGAATAAAATGCAGCTGAACACTGTGGTTTCCACACGTTTCACCCCAATACAGATACTCTATTCAAACCATGGCTGCATCAGAAACCAATATACTTCAAAGATGTGACATCTGACATGTGTCCTGAAAATCTTCTTAAGTTCAGTGTCTTTACACCCACATAATGGGTGTTTTTAATACAGCAGCAGCTGGAAAGAGAGGAAAAAGGTTCAGGATTCCTTCTCTGATATTCTACTGAAAGTTTTCTGTTCAGTTCCCAAAGTGCTCAGCATTCCCGAAAGTCGTGTGTCTCAGGCCTGCAGTACATTCTGGTCTTTTGAAGAGTCTTTCTAAGAATCTCTATTGTTTCCATGAAAAGGTCTGCAAAACAAAAATCATGTGATCTAAATAAACTCCAACAAATCTGCGATTTGTTAAACAGCCAAAGACGGCAGGCAGATTAAAACCTCTTCTGTTTTTAATGACCTTGATGTCTATTCTTTTCTTTCTCGCTGCAGATATTTGCGTCTCCATCTCTGAGAGCGTGCTGTCGCCTCACATCTCTGCAATAGATAACCCCAGTGTGTTGTCCACCAAAGACCACAGCTGGAGGAAGAAAGGGAGGGGCCAGCCTAAGCATGTGCTAAAGGGTAAGATTTCAGCCTGAAGGGGTCTGAATCTGTCTGTTGTTCCCCTTCTGGAGGTCTGTAAGTATTCATGGACGCTGCCAGTCCACAAACTATGTTGATAATTGGCTTTCTGCTCTTGTGTCAGCAATGGTGTACCCGAAGCATAACATTACAAAACCACAAAGCTTTAGCTGTTTCTGCACCTAGTTGGAGCCGTGACGGCAGTTTCACAGGGAGCAGCACACTTTATGTGAAACATAAGAACAACCACAGAATGGGGGTTAGCTTCTATATTGCTAATAAGTCACTGAGACTCCAGGTTACCACTCATGTCACCTGATTTATGTTAATGTGAGACTCACATCTGAACACACAACGCACCAAGCTGAAAAGAAACAGTGCAAAAGTTTTAAACCAACTTTTACATTTGTAATACTGACTTTCATGTGCACTGTTAAACATGTGAAAGTGGCTCAACTTGAAAATGAAGGTTCACCTGCTGCTTTTAATATGTCAGAAAAAGTATCTAAAAAATAGAATAAGGAAGCATTTGTTATCAAATCACTATAACTACTTTAAGTTAAAAGAATTAAAATTCATGTTTCAACTTGCATAAACAAAATATCTGATAATACTTTTGATGGAACATCACACTGAATTCTCAGAAAAATTTATTTTGAACGGGATTTAAACAATGTGAGAAGATCTTGTACTCAACCATAGCAAACTGACGTTTATATTAAAATGAGCATTTGCCTTAATAACACACCAGAGGCAAGTCAATGTAGTACACAAGATACAAAAACCTGCCGCTAAGCACCCTGGGAAAAAGTTCCCACTGCCGTTAGCAACACAACTTACTGCTCTGTTTCTCTTTCACAAACTCAAACATGTAAGTTAAAAATCTATATCTTGCAAAATTTGTTTGACTTAACCCTCTAAAACCAATGCCTGCTCTGGAGAGTGTGTGCAGACCCAAGACCTTAGAGGGTTAAAGAGTAGAAGTTAGTTGATACAACAAAATGCAGCTCAAATGTTTTACAGTGTGAAAGTGTTTAATTCTTCTACGGACGTTTTTAGATTTTCTTCAGACTTCTGCTACAGTCTCATAATAACAAACCCCAAACACCTACAGCTGTGAATGAAAGATGGCTCTCTAAAGTACAGGAGTCTGAATGCACATGCACTCCACACTTTTCAGTTCACAAAATCCAAAACGGTTTTGGGCCAGTGAGTACTTTTTGTTGTTTTGCTGTTGGCTGCTTTTTGACTCATCATTTCCTGTTCTCCTCTCTAAGGTCATGAGGGCGACTCCTGCCTGCGCTCGTCCGACTGTTCGGACGGCTACTGCTGCGCCCGCCACTTCTGGACCAAAATCTGCAAGCCGGTGCTGCGGCAGGGAGAAGTGTGCACCAAGCAGAGAAAGAAAGGCTCCCACGGCCTGGAGATCTTCCAGCGCTGCGACTGCGCCAAGGGCCTCTCCTGCAAGGTGTGGAAAGATGCCACCTCCTCGTCCAAGTCCAGGCTGCATATGTGCCAGAAGATCTGAAGCGGAGGCAGCTGCCATGGGCGCGGCGGACGCCTCTGTCTCCGTCTGCCACGGAAAGTTTTAAGGGAGAGAATGGCTTGTGGCTGCACTGAGAGGGAGCAAAACACAGAGACTAACAAGATACAGAACAGGCTGCTGCTGCGTGGGTTTCAAACCCTGCAAGCGGACAGCGATTGGAAACGCTCTGATGTGTTCGCCGTGAGCCGCCGCCACCGCTCTCACGCTCAGGCACGCATCTTTCAGACACACAGGGATGGAAGAGCTTTTCACCCTGCTTCAAAATAAAACACATGTTCAGCGAGCCACAGAGAGAGCCGACGGATGCTGTGATGGATGTGGACTTTGTCAAGGTGGAGGCAACTGATGTAGCAAACTTCTTTTTTTAAGCTAAAATACATTAAAACAAATATTCATTACAAGCCTTTCAAATCAATATTTTAAAGTCATTATTCTAATATTTCTTAAAGGGGCATTATTATGTAAAATTAAGTTTTAAAATGTTATTCCCTCATCAAAAACCAACCTGGAGTGTTGTTTTACATGTTTGAGAAATCCTTGAATCTCCATGGCAACCATTCAGTTGAGTGAACTACCTGGGTGGATCTAGTCACACCTACCAGATGCAGCTCCTCCCCCACTCAGATCCTTCAGACTAGCCAGCAGGAATTAGCATTCACCTGGTGGAACGGCTGGGCTCATTATAGGAGCTCCTTCTCAGTGAAATACTGGTAAAAACGTGTTAAAGGTAATGTAATCATTTCATAAAGGGTTAATAGAGGAGCCATGTTGGGATGACTTTCTGAGGGCGGAGTTTCAGAAAGAGCAGGAGTTTTTAAAGAGACAGAGGCCCAATTTCAAGGCGCAAAATTAGGAAGCAAAATTTTTTTAAAGTCAAATTTGATACATTTTTATAGCATAATTTACTTAATTATGCTATAAAATCACACTGTGTGTCTGAAAAACACATAATACTGCCCCTTTAAGGTTTATCTTTGGAAACTGTTGTTTGCATCCTTCGAACGGCTTTAGCTGCTTTCATCCAACGCCAAATACGCCTAAACCAAAGAATACAGAACATTCCCAGTGCAGTTAACGAGTTTCATCTGCTGCATGAGAGATAAAGCATAATTGTGTTGGCTTTGGAAGCCCTCATTGATCTGTCAGATCCAGCTGCGATCCGCCGGGATGACAGTCGTGTATGAGGTGGAGCGCCGCTGCAGACTCAGCGGTACCGGTACCAGACGGAAAGCCGCTCTGCTTTCCCAATCACATTAACGAGACTGGAGGACATGAGGAACTTAGGGTTTTTTTTTTTTCCATTTGCGAAGCCCCTAGGAATGGAGACGTGGGAGATTGATTACATAAAGCTGATGTGTTCAAAGGGAATCTGCCGTTTGATTTCTTTGTTTTGTGGGTGGTTCACAGCCTGGTTTGTTGTTCAGCCCTTAAATATGACTGCATACTTTCTTCTCATGACATATTGTAGAACTTAAATTTTGTTCTGGATGTTTTTTAAACAGCTCTAACCCTAAAACTCATAGTATCACTTTAAAACATACGTCTTGTAATCGTTTGAAATATCAATAAGCTCTTTTATGTAAATAGACTGGAAGCAATGTATTTAAGAATGGATGTATATCGTGTACATATTAATCCTGAGCACTAAAGCCGAAACGATCGGGTAGAGAGGAGATACGGAGGAAGAGGAGGGCAGAGAGGAAAAGGTTTGACTGGTTTACAGACTGGCTGCAGCTTGTTACAGGCAGAACAATAAATCCCAAAATATTTTGTGTAAATGGTGTGTAAATGGTGTGAAGATGTATATCCCACTAAAATGATTTGTGTGAATATTGTACGTTGATTTGTTTGTGTTTATAAAATGATAATGGAAGAATAAAAGGAATGTATTTTGTATCAGTGATGAAACAGGATACTTTTTATTACACTTACTTAAAAATCTCCGTTTAAATAAATCGATTTTTAATGAACAGCAAAAACATTTTAGGTTACAATAAAAATCCTGTGAACACAAAACGATGCCCTTAATGAGATTCAGCAGATTAATGAAATATGCAACACAGTTCAGAACAATATGTTACAGAAATATAATACAATATATCATGATTTTATAAAAAATGGTAAAATAGATGCAGCAGAAAATGATACACAGCAAAACAATAGGACACAATGTAATTACATGTAATACTACACAATACGGTATTTTACTAAACACATAAAATGGTTCTATGAATAAAAATGACAATTTTAAAAATATTTTGTGCAACTGGTGTGAAGATGTGCAGTATGAACCAGTAAAAATGATCAATGCGAATATTTTACATCGATTTAATTTGTATTTTTAAAATGGTGAAAAATATGATAAAATGCAACAATTTGATACGATACGATACATTATGATATGACATGATATAATACAATACAATACATTTGACAAAATTCAGCAGTAAATGTATTAAATACAATATGATGCATTCTGATACTGGATGTTGCAATTTAACAAGCTACACTACAATATGATTAAATATAATAATATATAATACAATTAAGTATTATTTTACCTATAACACAATATGAAGGGGAACATAGTGATTCAATATTACTGGTGGAATACAAAATGTTTTATATGACAGTACATTTTATTTGTATGTTATTTTACCACACGGTAAAATAACATACATTATAAGAATTTACTCTATGAATTATTGAAAATAAGAATTTGTATTTTATAACTCGTTAGTCAAATAAAGGTTAAATAAATGAATAAAAATAAAAAATATGGTCTCCAAGGGAAAATAACTTGTTGACTGTTTGTATCGCAGAGGCCATAAAAATGCATTTATTGCTGTTGGAAAGTTTTACCAAGAAAGAGTTTCAGACACCCCATAAACACACTACTTACTAGTTGAAAGTCTATCTGTTTTTTAAATCATTGCTATCACTACACTGTAAAATCCTTAGTAAAGGCAGCACTCTAACATTTAAAACGATCCTTGTGTTTTTTGTTATTCTTCACAGCAGCCAAATTTCATCTGAAGTCAGTTTGGTCAGCAACTTTCTGGCATTTCTGAGAGTTTTTTCATTTTAGTTGTTTAGACTTTGGTTGATTTTTCACTCATTTTTAGAACAATGTGCTCCTTTCGCATCGCCTTGTCTGATTTTTCTAAGCACGTATTTCACAAATTAAGTGTGAAAACAACAACTACAAAATCAAAAGACAAACTAGGAAATTTCCCATGAAATCCTTGAGATCACAAGAAAGTCCTTTTGCATGGAAGGAAATGTTCAGCAAATATCCAGGGCTACTAGGTATTCCTTAATTTTTAATAAACATATAAGAATCAAAGGTAAATGACATTAGGGATTAAACTGACTAAAAGGATGAGATTTATTGGTGTAGACTATGACAAGCAAATCTGATCTCATGTAAAAAAAGCAAACCCTAATTTGTTTGTTTTTCAAATTAAATAGAAACAAAAGAGGAGAGTGAAAAGGCTTGCTGGATAATCGTACCATGTCAGTAGACGTTTTTGTCCTTATAAAGGCAAGGTTCATCAAAGCCCAAGTGACAGAGTCAGCAGCTGAGATGTTTTCATGAGTACAAACAAAACCTCATGAAAGCCAAAATGAGCTGATGCTTTGCAGATGTCATCCAGTCAGAATTCCTCAACATCCCACGAACAATGTGCAGGGCACTTTGTGGTTCTGTACAAATCTGTATATTACATGTTGTCAGTCTAACAACACATGACGGAAATTAAAGACATTTTATTGACTCAATTGTGTGGTTGTCTTTGAATACCCAGTTATACCAACATCAGTCCAACCGATTCTGACTGCCTGTCAGGCGCTCGGGGCTCCGCCTGATGAGACCACAGCTGGCGGTTACACCTGGCTGGCTCTGCCTGATCAGACTGATCACAGCCTCACCTCTGACCTGCACAACGTTTCTGAAATGGAAAACTTTGTCCTGGTGTTGAACAGTTTAAATAGAATAAGTTTTCATCGCAGAGTTCCAGGGTTCATCTCCAACCTGGGAATCTTTGATACTCTCCCCGCTTCCTGTCTGATTAATGTGAGTAAAGGCCACAAGCAACACAAAAATCACAACAATATTTAAAGATTTCAATCAGGCTGAGGTTCAGACTTCAACATTTGCAAGACCGTAATGTTCCTGCTCTGTTTGGGATTACTGTCCGGTCCATGACCCAGTTTGGGTCAACTTTCCCGTTCAGCTAGAGAACTTTCTGTTACACAGACCGTCTGCAAGGTGCTGCAGAGCAAGCCCAAATCACAGGAGTTCAGTAACTGTGCTTCACAGGTGGTGCATAGCGATTGAACTTAATGCTGTGTATTAAATGCTGTGTGGATCATTGATGTCTAATTTTGTCAGAGCACTTCGCTCTCAGACTGCAGGGTTATTGCTGGTTACTAAAGTAAAACGAGAGACTGTATTTCTCAGGCAGACACCGTGTCTGACAATTAAACTGGTTTCTGTTATCCTGAGCTATTTCTGTAGTTTTGCTGTTATAGTTTTTGGCAACTGGAGGACAAGATGATCAATTTTCCTCAATTTCTTCTTCTACTTTTCTCCAGTTTGTGTTATTTTTATTGTTAACTTTATATCTTTTCTTCATCGAAGTGCGGTCTGGTCTGGTGTTCTGGTTTGGAGGAGGGCATCAGGTGAAATAATGCTGCCAGCAACTAATCGCTCTCACTCTCCTGCTGCTGACCTTTTAGTTTTCACTTACCCAGAAACTGCTCCTGGATCAGCTCATCTGTTTCTTTCTGCTCTGTCTTCTCAAACCTACGGTCACTCGTGGCAGATGACCCAGGTTCTGGTTCTGCTGGAGGTTTCTTCTTCTTAGGGGAGTTTTTTCTCTCCACTGTCGCCACATGCTTGCCTGGTATGAGGCTGTAAAATCAACGACAAAATGCAGCGATTATCGCAGGAGGAGTGAAGGCTGCAGGTCGGTGACTCCATGCAGCATGAGAGTTTCCTTAGACAGAAGGAAACTTTTTAAACTAATTTGATGTATTGATGTACTGATTGATAACTATAGTCGGTTGTAATGTATGTGATTGAACTG